TTACAGTGCAATAACATATTATGTATTTGCTTTACATACTTTACAGTGTCTGGTCAGTTTATTTTATATACATCGTTTATTGGAAAATAGCATAGCAAGTGCCACTTATGATTTTAGATTAACAATAAGGTTAAAAAACAGTAGTTGTTAGTTTTTCCTCGCCAAGAGTGACGCTTCTTTATGACGAAAAGAAACTAAAAGTTCGAATAGCAAAGTAAAGATAAGGTGAAAATTTTATTTAATTTATTGAAATTTGTTTGATCATACAACGCTGTAATTAAGCAAAAGATATAGTAAATACAAAGTCTATAGTAATTTGGAAAATATAGAGACAAATCTTCTGGTAGTGCAACAGAAAAAGCATTGGGAATAACTAATCTTATAAAACTTACAAAAAAAAATTAGTGGGACCAAATTTGATAATAACTTAGAATATATAAAGTGGAGACAAATCCGGCAATTATCAATTCATAAGAAACTCAAATAAAAAATTTATTTAATTTGTGTTCCAAACTGATCCAGTTGCTCATATTTGCATTAAAAGCATATACAAGGAGTAATATATTTCCAAAACACAAATAAGTTTCTCTAATGACTCTTAGACCCTGCAGAAGGAACATTAGGAAAATTTTATTAACATAATCAAAGTAAGTCTATTCCGCATACTTTTTGAGCTGAAAGTATGGTGTGGCATATAATCTTCATATTTTTAGTTTTTGTACTTAAACTTTTTTATTCGCAATTATTAAGAGGAACATATTTTATTCCTTAACTTCAATACTCAATCAATCACTCCACAAATTCAATGGTACTTCCTTTTCAGCAAGTGATTTAACGTTTGATATCCTTATAAATCTCAATTGCACGCATAGCATTGCTTTTGTGCAACAAATGCAATTCCTTATATCTGTTATTCCAGTGAGATACCGCCCACTTGTACTCGTAAGATAAATTTATTATTCAAAATGACTTAAAATTATTGTAGAGCAAAGTTAATAAATTAATTTTTTGATTTATTAAAAAAAACAATAAAATTTTATTTCGAAAAATTGAAAAACAAGCATAATCATTGCTATTAATTCTACAACTATTTCTTACTACTATTTTGTGTAAAATATTGAGACTAATAAGATTAGATGCTTTAGGGTTTACATTTAAATTTTTTAATTAAATTAATATAATTTCTTACTTATATATATAGCAAATATTTATTTTGTAAAATATTCTATTTAATATTGGAAATTACAAAAGACAGAAATACATTGTTTTATAATTAAATTTATTTTAAGTCCAAGACAACAAAAAACAATATAAGATTAATAATTACTAAATGGGAGTAGTACTAATTTTCTACTATATGAAGTTTTATATATCAATTAATTAAATTATTTTTAAATTAAATATCCAGCATCAAGTGTCTTTAGATATATTTTTTGATTGTTTTTGTTTATACAGATTTTTTATATTTCAGGCTACAAAGCTTGAACCTCAAGGATTGCTTCAAAAAAGATACTTGACCCAATGTCATACTTAACTTAGATAACTTAGAATTTTTTGCGGTTGAGAATAATGTTTTACTTCTTTATTTTGAACTATGCTGAAGCCCATATGAATTATAGGATGGTTTAAATGCTCCTTTAATAAAACATTAATGTGTATGCATAAAGATCTCACCGATTTGCCCAGTTGCAAGGAACGGAATCGTCTTGAAAAATTGGAAAGTTTCAGTACAACAAAAGCTTTTCGATTGATGATATTAAATACTGTATTAAGATATTAAGAATTTATTTTTCTGGGGCTAGTTTTTTATTTCGAAATAGGCCACTGATAAAAATAAAATTAATTTTATTTATTTTATTTTTTAATTTTTATGATTTGTGAATACAACATGTGTTGTTAAAGTATCTACAATAAACTACAATAAGAAAAAATAAGAATAAAATTGTTTTCCTATTAGAAGCAGATTTTGTTAATTATTCAAAAAAAGGGATATGTGTATATATCTTTTCAAAAACATTCTCAAATCGAAGATCAAACATTTTATAATGTGATGAGAAATATATAGAAAAATCAAATAAATATATATCTGATAAAAGTATTATTTAATATTTGACGGATATGTGATATTTTATAAGTGATGCGGTTGCAATGACCGCTAATGTACGTCGTCTTTTTGATTAAGTTGCACAAGAAATGTAATCCCAAACATATAACTTTATATTATAATTATATGAATACATAAAAATCAAGCGATTTGACATCAAGGAATTCTTTTTTGCGGTTACACAAAAGATCTTATTTAACAAATGTGTATAATTCTCAAAATCTTCATGCTTTGAAAGTAAACAAAATTATTATCTGTTAAAAGATGGCCAAGCTATTGCCAGCTATGTTACAACAGGTCATCGAAAATCGCCTCATTCAAAACTGTTGTATTTCATACGACCATAGTCCAAACAATATATTGAAGAAAAGATTTTAACAGAATCTTAATTATAAGTATGTCCTATTTACGTTTCTTTTGAAACTGCTAATATCTCCTGCTCAAAAAGTATCCGGACTTTGTTGTTTGTTAACTACTCCTTAAGTAATATACCTTTTTAAAAAAATTTTTTTTTGTTATGTTGGTACACCCTTTCTTGATATGTGGTACAAATTTGAGCACTATCTCTCAATTAGTTTGTTTACAGTAGCTGTTAATGTGAGACTACCTCAAGTGCATTTAGCTATTTTTGCTATGGAAAATTCTTGTTGAACGGGATTTTTTGACCAAACACGGCACCACTGTCATCGCTCAGGTACCATATTCGCCAAATCGCCAATCCCGAAACACAAATTGCCCCTTCGTGGTAAGTGTTTTGAGTCGACTGAATCGGTAAAAGAGAATTCGCTGAAGGAACTAAAAGCCAAAAGTGTATGGAAGATTGCGTTAAGCGTTGGCATATATGTATCGGAGCATATGTTGAAGGGGATAAAATAAATTTGGAATAAAATTTAAATATGTGTGTTTTATTTACAAAATCCGGGTACTTTTTGAGCAGAAGGTACAATTACCCAGTATTTTTAAAAGACATCGCTAATGAATATTTTGCAATGTTCAATCAATGTTCAGTGAAAAACTGAATTAATAAAAAATATAATTTATTTATGGAAACTTATTTCTGACTAATATTTATAAAAGTACTTAATTTATGCGGTATGCAAACCACAGTAATAGTTCGGTGCGTGTGTACTGAAAATACAGATAAGATCTGATCTAAGAAAAAATTTTGAGAAATCATTAAAAAAATGCTTTGTGACTCTGCATCATAAATAATGCTTCAAGCACATGATATGTCTAAAAAATTCGAAATAAAAATCAATATAGGGGCTTAACGTTATTTGAAATCGCTTGAAATCAATAGAATTAGTCTAACTTAATTTATTTTTACACATCCAAATTATTGTTATCTTATAAAGAAACCACTGAATTCATAGAGAGACATGTATTGCTCATCTTAACAAATAAACTTCTTACAAGTCTAAATGACGACAAGTAAATAACTAAAACAATTGGAAGTAAATAGATAAAATAGAATGTACTAGAAAAACAAGCTGTGACCTTATAACTACCTGTAGTTTGATAAAATTTAATTGAATTAATGATAAAAACGTTTATAAAGTAGTGAATCACTGCTTCGACTACTGTGGATTCATTAAAAAAAATAAAATTATTTCCAAGAACTTCCTAGTTTCATATCTGATAAACTTATTACGGTAGACTAACTGGTATTTTGCTGTTTTCTTGTAATCTAAAAAAATTATATATGAAGAATATATGTACTTTCATTAAATTTTTCAATCACTAATAATTCTCTTTAATCAAAATTATATTTTTTAATTTTGATACTGTGAGAATTTCAAAGCTTATTGCCATCAGTGATAAAAGGCAAATAATTAATTTTAGATTTTGATACGAGTTGTTCTGTTTTGACAAATTATTAAAATTGTTCTTATATTTTATCAGAAATCAATTATCAGACATTTTTTAACAACCTCACGTATTTAGAAATTTATTTGGAAAATCAGTTCCGAATAATTTTTTTATAAAATTGTCAAAGAGTATTTATTTTTAGTGTTTTTATCTCTGACAATGCGAAATGTTACTACTGTTTTTAATATCTCAATTTCGCACTTCATTTAAAGCAATCATAGTTTGTGTGAAGATTGATATCGAATTCCAATTAAAGTGATAACATTTTTAACAATACTGTTAATAGTAGCAAATTCTGTTGGAAGTGCATAATTTCCTATTAATGAATATTTTCGACAATTTTTGGGTATAAAAGTTTGACGTTTGGAGCTCTGTGGATATCAGTTACTTGCCACTTTCTGTTTGGAAATAGCTAAAAAAAATGAAATTCTGTAAGAGAAAATATTAAAAATTTGAAAAAAAATAATAATTAATAATAACAATAAATACTTTTACAGTCTTTGCCTTCGCTTTGATTGTTGCTGCTTTGGCCTGCGCCAATGCAGATTGCAATTCTGATGGAAATGGACAACCTGACTGCGTTGGTGCAAGAGCTGGTCAGAAATACCGTAACTTCTGGGATCCTACACATTACTGGTCTTGCGCATCAGATGGTGCTGAAGCAGATAATGTTGAATGTCCTATTGCTACTGGATTCTTAGATTCAGTAGGTGAGTGTGTCAGCTGGGACCAATGGGTATGGACTCCACCATGCCCAGACACCGATAGCGAAACCAGTTAAATTTCTGTGCAAAATGTAAACAATTTAAAGGCAATAATAAAACAGTGAAATAATATATTAAAAAAATATGACTATTCGTTTATTTATTAAATTTAATTGAATATATTTCAATATGTATAATATATATATAGTTGGATATCATCCGTGACTATACAGTCCATGTAGGATCTAAGTCTGCTTAACAACAGTTTTTCGTTCTTCTTTGTTTTTTGCTTTTCTTTTCAAATTTTTTAAATTCATTATTTCTAAGTCCTGCTGCACATTATCTTTCCATCATTTTCTTGGTCGCCCTCTTCTTCTGCTGGTTCCCACTTCGTTCTCATAAATTTTAATCGGTTGGATATATGAAGCATAATCTTTTTCACTAAAACATAAGAATGTATCTTCAAAAATAAATACTGTTTTTAATAGAACTTTCACCTCTTAGTTACTTAGTAATAACGAAATAAGCAACGGTTTTTTGACTAGGACTAAAAATGGAAACCATTTTAAGGTTGTGTTAGATTATTGTTATCGATATAAAGACTTAATTGTCATAATCGATAAAAATAAATATTTAAAACGTATATTAAATTAACATAAATTTTAAAATTTGTTGAATGGAAAAAGCGGCATTGCGAGTATTGCGGCATTTCATCAATTGAAGTCGACAAAGCAGATACCTTTGTCGTATAACTTTAACGAGATAATGCTACCTGTTTCCCAGTACTGTACAATACAAATACAAATTTTGAAATGATTCACTTATAATCATGCTTCTTTATTTTCTGTATTTATGATGTACTCAACAAAAATAAATTCCAACTTCTTCCATAAACCATCCAAATAATACTATGTGGATGATTAAAAGAACGTTTTTTTATTAACTCTGCTAAAATAAGGTAAATGGTTAGTAAGTGTGTAATAACCTCGTGATCTTACCGATTGTATAGTATGTTATGGTCAGCTCATCTGTGTATTTCACGTAAGGAAATGAAAAATGACTGGACTTCAATACTCGATTTGAATACAATGTACAATGTATAGACATCAAACCTATTATGAAATTAATTCTTCCTATCCAAATTGTATTTAATTTGAAAGTATATTAACCGATAATCCCAATTGTCGATCACGATTTATATAGAGCTGCAGCATTTTCGATTGTTCAAATTCATTTCAATATTATATTTTTTTTGTGTCAGAGTATCATTAGTGCATCTACAATAACTTATTATATATATTATGTGGTAGTTTTATAATTTTACTTATATGATTAAAATATATCTTCTTTGTTTTTGAAAAGATCGGAGTGACTGTTTTTCATATGTATCACTTAGTCCCAATACCCAAAGATTTACTTCAAATCTGCTTCGCAAACCACATATATATATGTTTATCTTGAAGCAACTATATTTTATGCGCGAACTCACATTTATTTTCTTAAAAGCATCTTCTATATACTGTGTATTATGGTTTGCGAAACTTTAAGTTATTGGGTCCTTCTTTGAATTTGGTTAAAGACATATTAAAAGTTACAAAGACTCCATAAAATTTATATGCTTTAATCATTTCCAATTTGACTTCATCGACATACCTGTTTGTATTTCTTACCTGTCGACTACTACTGTATCCGCATGAACTACAATCTGGACAAGCTTTAACACGACTTTGGAATAATTTAGAGAGTTGACATCCAGTGATTACGCGAGCTTGCACATGTTGTGGGAATGAATGATGATGCTTGAATGGAAAAGATATTTGAAGCGGTAGTTGGAGGAAAAAAGCGTAGGGATAGACCGTGTCTCTAGTAATCAAATCAAGGGAGCACTAAGCGGACTTGATGTGCAAGACTAGAGAACGTGCTCACGCACTAGAGGTGCTTGGAGAACTAGAAAAGGAATAAATAATACTCTGCATTTTGTTTTTGGGCATTTAATGTTTATTTTCTAAAAAGTTATATTTTTAACCAAATTCAGATCAGATATTTTCGACTTTCAATATTTTGCATTGAAGGTCTGGGGTTTTAGCATTAAAAAACTGACGCCAAATTTTTATAATATACATTTGGAAATTTTCAGTTTTTATTTCTGATTTAGGTAGATTTGTGATTTAGTTTGATTAAAAAAGTATTATTAAGTAATAAATAGAAATATAACTATTACAATGAAATTTTACTACATAATTTTGCAGAACATGGCATTGTTTAGTAAAGAATATATTAAAAAGTGATATTAAAATAATAACATTATTATATATTCATATAGCCTGGTTTAAAATGTCTTCAATCCTAAACAACCAAATCCAAGTTGATCAGAAGCTGTAAAATAACCTATATCTGCGTTAGCGTCTACAAATAAAGTACCATACTTTTTGGATACTGAAAAAATATTTACTACTTAATACTACTACTACTACTATTTACTACTAAAGTATCATAAGGATAACGATGGTAGCAAAAGAGCTACCAAACATGCGAAAAAGAGTGAATTAACTCTCGTTGAAATTTTTTTAAGAAAAATTCGCTTGTCAAGCTGAATCAGAAACTTAAAATAAAAGCTATTCCATAAATCTAGCCCGACTTAAGGTAATCCAAATAGCTTATTTGTATCAAGTTTGTTCATTAAACATGCTGCTATTAAGCTCAGAAAAATAATTTGATTGATTTAATCAGATTTTAAATTATTCTCAGGTCAAGATATTCATACTCCCCTCATCATATTGCTTCAACTACACCACATATTGGTTCTGATATCTTCTTTACCACATGAGCTAAAATTTCTCTAACAAAATGCTCAGTTCAATTTAACTTGTAGATGGTTTGAGCATATTTTTCTGAGTGCACCTACCACTTTTCAAAAGTGGAACTAATAATTGTTTATATTTTTAGATTCTGTGAAATGCAGAGTCAAAGTTTTGACCACCTTAACAGCTCGTACCCGATGTTTGCTAAATAACGAGTGTATTTTTTTTATTCGAAAATCACTGAACCGATTGCAGTCTGGAACCAAGAGAGATTATTAGGCTTGTCAACAGAATTGATTTATTTAAGCTTGGAAGATTCTCTCCATGAATTCTTCTATCGGTATTGTGGATCTCTGTTTAGCATAGTTTATTTTTATAATAACAGCAATAAAAACAAAAATCACTAAATCAGTAATGAGTCAATAAAAAACAATAGGAAGCTGTTGTTTTATTTGTGGTGTATTTACCAAACCATGTTCGGAGAACACAAATACGGATAGTTTGTCTATATGCCAATTTTGTTGGGTAATGCCCTAATCTATCATACATTTAATATGTGGTAAATATATATGTATGAATTATAATTTGCATACCTTCTGCTTAAGAAGTACCTGGATTTTGTTAACTACTCCTTAAGTAATAGACCTTTTTCAAAAATTAGTTTTTGTTATGTTGGTACACCCTTTCTAGACATATGGTACAAATTTGAGCGCCATCTGTCAATTAATTTCTTTATAGCAGCTGTTAGCAATTTTTACTACGGAAAATTCAGTTAAACAACGAGTTTGTTTGAAATTTTGTGTTTTCAACAAAATTTCATGTGTTGAAGCATTGAAAATGGTGCATAAAGCTTACGGGGACTCTTTTATATCTAGAACACAGACATACGAGTGGTATAAATCATTCAAAGAGATCGTGAAGTGATCGAAGATTTGCCTCGTTCTGGACGTCCATCAACATCAAATACCGAAGAAAACGTGGCAAAAATCAAGAAAATTATGCTGGAAGATCGTCGTATGACTGAAAGGGAGATTGCTCGTGACTTAAACACCTCAAATGCATCCGTTTACCACATTCTACATGATATATTGGGCATGAGACGCTTTGCAGCTCGACTTGTACCGAAACACCTTGATTTTTTGCAAAAAGAATACCGAAAGAACGTGTGTAAAGAAATAATTTTTGAGCATGGAAACGACTCTACATTCATGAAACGCATCATAACAGGTGTTGAGACTTGGGTTTATGAGTATGACGTCGAAAACAGTCAACAATCGAGCGAATGGCGCTTCGAAAACGAGCCAAAACTCAAAAAACCGCGCAAGAGTCGCTCGAAAATTAAAGTTATGCTCACTGTTTTTTTCGACTACCGCGGTGTTATTCATTGCGAATTTTTGCCAGAGGGTCATACCATCAATAAAGAATATTACCTCGGCGTTATGCGGAATTTGCGTGAGTCCATCCGTAAGAAAAGACCAGATTTGTGGAAACCCAACAATTGGATTCTTCACCACGACAATGCTCCATCGCACACGGCTCTTGTTGTACTCGATTTTTTGACCAAACACGACACCACTGTCATCGCTTAGGCACCATATTCGTCAGATCTGGCGCTGTGTGACTTTTTCCTGTTCCCGAAACTCAAATTGCCCCTTCATGGTAAGCGTTTTGAGTCGTTTGAATCGGTAAAAGAGAACTCGCCGAAGGAACTAAAAGCCATACCTTCACGGGCCTACGAAAAGTGTATGGAAGATTGGGTTAAACGTTGGCATATGTGTATCACTTCCAAAGGAGCATATTTTAAAGGAGATAAAATAAATTTAAAATGAAATTTAAATTTGTGTTTTATTTACAAAATCCTGGTACTTTTTGAGCAGAAGGTATAACAGATTACAGTAATCGAAACTATTGTAGATGTCCTTGATTTGATAAATACTTATGAAAATGAAAACTTTAATGTATAATATATATTATAAATTTGTGAATCAGAAAATATGAAACGTGTTATATATTTTTTAATTATTCCAATTGCGCTTGATTTCAATGTCATAAGTTAAATGATTCATGTTAATAATTTTTGCAATACTCATTTTTTTCATCAAACTATGCCAATTCAACAATAAGAACATCTTCTGTTAAAATTCGCAATTACTATCACAATGATAAATCCTTATGAAAATATTATACAATTAATAGTTGTATGCAGATTGATATCAATTTGAGTGATAACATTTAACATTATTGTTAATAGTAGCAAATTCTGATTAAAGTGCATTATTTCTTATCAAAAGAAATTCTATAAACTGTTTTTGTATAAATAGTCGTTCACTTGTACTTCAAACCTATCAGTTTCTTGTCACATTCTAACTGGAAATAACTCAATTAACATGAAATTCGGTAAAGCAAAAGAATTCTCTTAAATTCGTGCAAAATTATTTTACTAATTAAAAAATATATGTGTTCTTATAGTCTTCGCCTTCGCTTTGATTATTGCTGCTTTGGCTTGCATCAATGCAGATTGTGATCCTGATGGCAATGGACAACCTGACTGCACTGGAGTAACTGCTCGTACGGTATACCGTAACTTCTGGGATCCTACACGTTACTGGGTTTGCTCCTCAGGTCAACTTTCCAGCGAAAATTGTCCTATAAATACAGGATTTTTAACAATAGGCGGATGCGTTGACTGGAGCAAATGGGATTGGGTTGCCCCATGTCCCGCTGCCTAATACAGAATAATATTCGAGCAAATTTGAAGTGATTTAAAAACAATAATAAAAGTGTGAAACTATATGCAAAAAAGTTTTTCAGTGTATTGGTTTTAATTTCAGTAACAACTTTAAATTTTATTCTGAACGAAAAGTAGAATTCATGAAACACGTGCATAGTGCAATATTGTGATATGGACGTGTTCTTATTGGAGCGGGAATACTTAATATTCTTAAAATAGATAAAATTTTTAAAAATTTTAATATAAATGAGAAGAGCTTGATATCAGGAGATCAATTATTTATCAATAGTATGGGAGAGCGTTAAGCAAAATAATCAGCACCTTTTAGCCCAAAAATGGACTGCTACAATTTATAATTGTGCCACATGGACTGCCGTATTAATTGTACTAAGCAGCTTATGTGAAGATCACCACGGAATTTTTATTGTGTTATTGAAACATAAAATACTTTTATGGTGTATGTCAGTAATAGTATAAAGATAAGACACTCTTTGAGAAAAGAGACAGCTCAGTAGATATGCACCTTCTAACAACTGTCTATGTCTAAAGTGGTAGACACTTCACATAAGTAAATCTTTCATTTTCTTTCTGGACAAAAGTCTCTAATTGTACTTATGAATGCGAGTGTATGTCTCGCTCACAGATATTCTGTTGTTTCATTTAATTATGTGACGGTGACGAAAACCTTGAAGTCTATGACTGATAACAATTACCAAAAATCATTCACAATGTAGATAACATCAAGAAAGTCAAAAGTTCTCTGAATCCAGCGTTGTGTGTCTACGAAACTAATTGAAAAAAAAAATGGATTTGGTAGCTCAGCACAGCATATAGGATTTTCACTGAGTAATTGGGCTATAATCTATGCGGTTCGCTTCACGCTACATAATTTGACGGGCGAAAAAACTTTAAAAACTGAAGAGTTCAGCAAAGCAAAAATATGTTAAAAATTTGTTAAAAGAATCCGTCCAACGTATCTTATCGGGCATAAAGCTAGTGATGATTTGTAATATTTTCAATAAAAACCGAAAACACGGAGTCTGAATGTGGCACAGAAGTCAACCGTAGAGCTAAATCAAGGTAGTGTTTCCTTGATTAAAATTTTATTTTTTGCAATTGAATTATATCGGATAGACAAATGGTGACCTTATTTTATTAATCAGCAAATATTATATATTTATTCGTTCCATTAAAAATCTGAAGAGAAAATATTATTTCTCTTATTCTAATCAGTTTTACTTTCTTATCAGGTCAGTTATTTTTCTTCCTGATCTGACCAAGCTGTCATCTTGCAAAATTAGGGACTTAGCCAAATTCATAGTATTATCAGGTTAGTTCACGTTTACCTAATGGAGAAGTCGTTGCCTTTCGGCGTTTGTCTTATACTGACCTTTTAGTCTATGCAGGAACTAACGCTATGTCTGTGTCACCACAATGGGCCATTATTTAAGCAATTGGGCTTTCCTGAACGCAAGGTCTCGCTACTTCAACCTAAACTAACCTAACTATTATTTATTCTATATGCTTTGCTTCTAATATATTTTTGTATTTATATACATTAATGTTATTAATTTACAATATATAAATACATGTTGATATCATACCTAAAACGTGTTGGCCTCTTTTAAATACAGAAATTTGATATCATATCATTGAAGAAAAATATGAAATGTTAATCTCAGTAAAAAAAAAACCACAGTGGACACAAATATATTATTCATATAAAAATAATAAATAATTTTATATTAAAACAGCTCCTCTAGTCTTTTAAAAAAATACTTAAAGATTTATTACATTTAATCAAAATTTAGAGTGCACACCTTGAGAATAGCATATAATAAACAGAAAAAAAAACAATTTTCATGGTATATATTGTACAACAAATTCATTGAGCTCATAAAGTGGATTTATTATTTCTTCTACTTTTATATATAATACTTTTAAGTCATTATTAAGCTTTTAGCAGTCATAAAATACTCATTACTTTAAACGCTTAATGACCAAAAAGTATGCAATGCCTTTTTCGCAAATGCCAAGGCAATGATAAAAAATTTCAAAATATGGCTTCCGTTTTGACGCTTAATATTTTAATAACTCCCAAATGGCTTTGATGGTATTATTATTGACCATTCAAGAAATTTTTAATGTTGGCGGGAATTATTGAATTACAACAAAATCGGTACGCAACAACAACAAAAATGCTATTAACTTGTTTTTCAAAAATTTTTTTAATATTAAAAATAGTCATAAAAATTAATATGAAAATATCTACAAGAAACCGTAATGAAACCTATCTAAAGTGGAATATTTTAAGTCACCTAAAATATTCAAATATTTGCATATTTTAGAAGTCACATCTTATCTTTATATGCTTAATGAAAAAGGCTTAAAAGAAATTTTTTATGTGCAATACTTTTATAAAAATAAAATTATATTCGTTCAGAGAAAAATAAATTCTTTACGTTTTCTTTTTAAAAAAAACGTAGGGCTTAACTTTTCTTTTTGGAATGCTTTTCTATGAAATAAGCAAACACATTGAAGTCAAAAACTGACATTATTTGCAAAAGTGCATCTACTTAATTTGGAAATATAAGAAATGCATCCATCCTTCGTATGTGCTGCATTGTATAAAATATTTTTGAAGTCATTTTACCTTATACAGTTGAAGTTTTCTTCATGTGCATATATTTAATAAGGACCTAAATAAGATTTATTTTTTAACTTACATTGAAGAGGAAAACACAAGTTGTAAGTTCATACAAAATTTGGCAGCAAAACAGATTCTCTACCTTTGAATAAGCCTCGCATTAGTACAGTACTTCACAAACTTTTTCAATGCAAAAATTATTTATTTTATATTTAATAAATACAGGTAGATTTCATTTTAAGTAAACACTTATTAACTGGGATATATGTTTTGTGCATATATAATTTAATAATTTTTTTTATGTGATAAAAATGGAATGGTTTATGCACTGTCAAATCGACCGCCACCGGAGTTAATGTGTCCGACTCCTACTGTGTAGTATATGAACTAAAATACCCCTCTTCTTTTTCGGAATTTCTCCCGTCGGGACTAATTTCGCATTGCTTCAGAAAGGATCTCTTGCTAGTTCGATATACATGCAATATACTTCTCGTATCCAAAATCCGCACTCCTCAGAAGACTGAAGACTTTCCACTCAGATTTGGAAAGTCTCAGATTTAATAAATACAGGTAGATTTCATTTTAAGTAAAACCTTATTAATTGGGATAATGTTTTGTGCATATATAATTTAATTTTTTTTTTGTGTGATAAAAATGGAATGGTTTATGCACTGTCAAATCGACCGCCACCGGAGTTAATGTGTCCGACTCCTACTGTGTAGTATATGAACTAAAACACCCCTCTTCTTTTTCGGGATTTCTCCCGTCGGGACTAATTTCGCATTGCTTCAGAAAGGATCTCTTGCTAGTTGGCTATATATGCAATATACTTCTCGTATCCAAAATCCGCACTCCTCAGAAGACTGAAGACTTTCCACTCAGATTGGGAAAGTCTTCAGATTGCTCTTTGTTTTAGATTAGTTTGCGTCCAGATCTTTCTTTTTTTTCCAGAACACGTTTCTGGTAAATTGTGTGATTTTGTTCCAATTTTCATTTTTGCAATGATATTCTCGACAATAATCTATATATTCTAATCACTATGACGTATATATTGTGCAAATAGTGCCGCTGTCTCCACGCGACGTGGTCAACATCACCGGACAGTTGACATTCGTCTTACAGTTGAGCTGCTCTGGTTTTTACATTTTGTGTAGATATTTACGAAAATATCCATGACCAGTTATGAACTGTGTGACATAATAATCAATTTCGCCGATTTTATAATAATATAATTTTATAATAATAGTCCTTTCTGCCCAAGCTTTTATTTTCGGAATTATCTTTACTGTCCATCTTCCTCTTAAATCGGAGTTCCATCGTTATTGCTTAATCTGGAAAAATTGTTTGCTGTTGAATAGTTTCTTAATCTCTGTTTCGAGCGCTTTCTTTGTGCCTAAAGATCGATATAAATGATTCCACTAATAACTAGAACTAATGGCGCGAATTTGGTTTGGTATGCAGAAACTACCCGAAATGCAACAGTCCTCTGTACAGCTGTGTAAACTTTCCTTCTACATTCAACCTTTGTCAAAATTTCGCACTCGTAGAATAGTATTCGATTTATGGTCGCCATAAGTTGTTTTCGTTTATTCTGGGTACTATGGGTAAAGCCATCAGTCTTTCTAGCATAACAACAACTTTACTTGATTTTATCGTTGCTTGTTTTATTTCAACCCAATAGGTTAACTTAGAGTCTAGTTTCAACCAAGTATGTGGTCACTTTTTAAGTATTTATAGCGTTGTCGTTAACATGAATTTCAATTTCTAACAGTATGTTATCTCCAATGGTTTTTATCATATCAACTAGAAATGTTGAGAAGATAACCGATTTATCTTTTAAGAGCATATGGCTCTATTAGTGGTCAATATCGCAAATAAAGTAGATATTTCTACCATCTTCTTTGATAATTAAAAGTATTTGTCTAAATATAAAATTGGGATATTTATTTCATTTTGATTGAATGTCTAATAATCTGAAAAGTGTAAATAATATAAAGAATATAATAGAAAAATATATTAAGATCATCAAAAATTTCAAATTCCATCAAATTAAAAAAAACTACTCTGCCAGAAATCGGGTAATAGATTTTGGATGTTCCGATATCAAGTGTAAAAATGTTTTTGTCAGTAATAAAAATTTTATAAAATTTTGTTTAAAAATTCTTATTCATTTGACAATATAATTACGTTAAATTTTTTGAAGATTATCGCATTTTTACTATAAAAAATATCCGAATGTCAATCGGTGCTCAGAGCGAGCATTGCGTCACTGACTTTTCCCGATTGTAATCAACTCTGGTTACTGTCGGTTTATTTCTGGAATGAAGCGATAGAGTCATGTGTGTTTAAATGTAGCATGATAATACAATATTTATTTACGTTTATATCTAAATGTCTAAACAATGGACATCTTCATCAAAGCGTCAT